TAAATTTAAGGTAGTGGTTATCTCCATGTGATGGAATTTCAGAGGATCCTTTTTTGGCTTAATTTTATGTCATTGCTAATTTACTTCATCAGCATGAATTACTTGTTTGAATTAAGAGAAAACAGTTATTTCAGGGTAACAGGTTTAGGAATGTTTTTAAGGCTGCTTAAGTTTTCTACAAAGAACATTATTTTTTCTGAATATGAACGTAAATTTTACATTGTTAATCAGGTTAGAGCTTATGGAAATGGAAATGGAAAGCTGAAAATACCTAGACCACTGCCCACTGCATCATAAATCAATTAATAATCTAAAGCTACAAGATATTTTGAGAAAGATCTATCAAGTTACCATAGAAATGTACTAAACTCTAATGGAATAATCTCACAAAGAGATATTGTCCCTCGTGGTACTTACTTTCTTCCGATTCATACATATGTAAACACATTATAGTCACAAAGCAGTTTCACACATCCCTTTGAGCCTCAAACAACACTGTGAGGTGGGTAACTATTGTCTGCATCTATAGATGAAAAACAGGCTCAGGACCTGATTTGCCAAAGGTCACCAAGCTAATAAGACAAAGAATCATTAAGTTGAACCTCGAGAGGTCTTTACCTTCCAAGTACACACTAGAATGCAGTACACTTCCCTCTAAAGTACTATTTATTGAAGTAGGGTAATACTAGCTTCAACTTACACATGAAGAAACGGAGCCTAGAATTCATTAAGAATGTTGATTTTAAAAAAAGGAAGAAGAAGAATGTCGATCAAGACTATAAGGTAGCAAGTGTCAGGGCTCGGGTTCAAACTCCAGGCCAGTCCAACTCCAAACCCAATGCTCCTTCAACATGCTAAATTGCAGCACTGATGAAGCGGAGAAAGGGGGTGGAAATGATACAAAGGCTTACTGGACAACCATGTACAACATGACTTTGTATCCTGGCCACAGCCAATGTGTCAGGATGGGTCCCGACTCAATTCATACCTTCCTCAGCAATTCAGAAGTGGGACCAAAAAAGTCAAGCATCCCTTGAGTGCCTGGACCTATAAAGCCAATGGATAGGACATGGGCCTCTTTAGCCTACTCTATGAAACAGAATCAGAAGAAGCTGGTCTGAAGAAAGAATGGGCACAAAAGCACAGAGAGCGACTGGAAGAACTGGATGATTTCTATTTCGTGAAGGCCCCTCGGGTTTCCATAAAACTCCCTAAAATAAGTGCCCTGTTTTTGCTTAAGCCGGCTTACAAACTGGGTCCAAATACAAGCAGAAGGTCTTTGCCAAAGGGGATAAAAAAAGAAGTACTTCTATAAAAGTACATTTAAAAAAAAAAAAAGCAGCTAGCACATGCCTAGGGTGAATTATCAGATCAGAGAAAGAGTCCTTCCTTCCTAATGGCCAATCTAGCTCCAAAAGAATCTTCTCAACCATGCACCCTATTACTCCCACAACAGCAATCCAAATCGCAATAGCTTCTTAAGTGTACCATGTTTTCCCTGCCCAATTATTTGGTCAACCAAGTCCCCCAACGGGGAATAGTCTCCTTCTCCACACAGCCAATTCCTCCCATTCAAGGTCCAGCTCAGATATTACGTGCTGCACACTTATACATCCTACTATCTGAGCCCTACAAACTCCCACAGATCTCTCTTCTACATCTCTCCTGGCACTCACTGTCTTTTGCTACACATTATGTAACTGCCCGATTTTCTCCTCCTTAGACCAAAGCAGTTCTTTGAGGTGTGATTTCAATATGATTCCACCTAAGTACCCACTCCTCTACCCTCCATCCTTCTATAGAGCTCCTCAGGTTGAGAAACTGTGACTTAAGTCTCTTGGTATCCCAGCACTAAATTCAGTCCCTTGCAGAGAGGAGTTGCTCAAATACCTGTTGAATGTATGAAATATTAATTCCTCGTGCACTAGAATAGTTAGAAGTTTATACATTCAACATCTGTAGCAAGGGAAAGGAGGGGACTGGCGACAATTTATAATACCTGACATCAGAATCTCTTGAAAAAGGGACTATATATATTTTAATACTATGACGAGTGCTTAGGGTTTAAAAAAAAAAAAGGTGGGAGGAATTCTGGACGGTCTGATTGTGTGGCAGAACTGGTCTGCTCCATGGGGCGCCTGGGTGGCTCAGTCCTTAAGCGTCTGCCTTCAGCTCAGGTCACGATCCCGGGGTCCTGGGATTGAGCCCCGCATCGGGCTCCCTGCTCCACAGGAAGCTTGCTTCTCCCTCTCCCTCTGCCCCTGCTTGTGTTTCCTCTCTCGCTGTGTCTCTCTCTGTAAAATAAATAAATAAAAATCTTTGGAAAAAAAAAAAAGAACTGGTCTGCTCCAAATCAGGAGGGATGCAATAGTTACTACAGAGAGGAGAGAAGAAAAGGAGAGACGACAGAACAGTGAAAGGACAGAAAGTCAAACACTCTACACCAAGACTTTCCCCATGACTCACATCTTCCAGAGTTAACTAAATTGCTGAAATGCTTGGGAGAGTGGAGTCAGTGAGTGAGTGAGTGAGTGAGTGAGTGAGTGTGTAAACCAGTGAAACAGGTGGGTTTTCATGTCCAAGCTGACATGAGTAGAACCAAAATATCATTTTCAGAAATGGGAACCTAAGAGAAGAAAAGCATAAGTAAAGTAAATTACAGGAAATTCACAAGAACAGGGTGTGATGGGGGTTGGGGGTGGCGGAGAAATGACCACCTCTGGACTTTGACAACCTCTGCAATTAGGAGTGTGAGGCTAAAACTACGAAGAGTAAGGAAGGCCTAGCTGCCATCTAGATTTTATATGTAATAGTCTTTTCTGGTAGATCAAACCTGTGAATTATCTAACCAGATACTAACTAAGGTTAAAGTAGTTAAAGTCCACATCATCTATTGATTTCTATATGCCATTTCGATTCACTAAATGCCACTCTAATACTTAAGTGACAATATCCAAATGAGGCCAGCGAGATCCTTCTTCAGGAATAAATGCTTTCAATTTTGATCTCTACTGCTAGGTTTTTAAAAAGATGTTTGCCCCAATCCCTACCTTAAAAAAAAAAAAAAAAACTTATTAAATGCAAACATACTTAAAAGGAGAATGTCAGGAAGTCCAGTAGTAATCAATATAAGTCAGAGATGGGGAGAGAATCCATTCCATCATGGCTCCTTCCAGCCAGGGCTGCCCAAAGGGGAGACAGATAAGAACTTCTGCAAGCAATGAGGCTCAGAGCAGGAGGTGCCTGCTGACACAGTCCCTGCTGGTACCCCTTACTCCCAGAACTAAGCAGTCAGACAGACCAACTTCCTGTCCTCCAGCCCACCATCTTACCCCCAGGACCCAGGCAGACACTCCAATATGGAAACCCCTGCACGAGGATGCGCTCTTGACTCTGAGCAGGGAAGGGGAAAGGAGTCTTTCTTCTGCCGCTTCCGAAGTCCTAGCCACCTGGAGATGGTGTCAGGCTACTTTGAGCCCCCCTGACCAACTCAGCATAGCCCTAAGCAAGGCGACCCTCTCCTGCTCACACACATCCCCCTGCCCCCCTCCACACACACAGACAGAGGGAAGGAAGAAGTCACAGGGTTAGCTTGGCAGGGTTGGGCCAAGTGATGAGATAAAAGCCCTCATCTGTACCCCAGATTTACTGAATAAGTGCCACGCTCCAGATGCACTGAGCTCCACAAACACTCCCACCTCCCAAGGAAGCCCTTTCCCCCAGAGACAGCAGCTGGCCAATGCCCAGTTAGAAATCAATGTTAGTAAACTGATGAGCAGAAAGATTAGTTCAGCTTATGAAAGCCAGCTTAGAGGAGACAATATATACTATGCAAGAGTTCAGACTGCATAAAAGTCAAACATGTGATAGTTAAGATCCACCAAAGCAGTTAATTACTTAGGACAATGCTCATTTGGATGTGTAAACTCTAGAAAGTTCTTTAAGTCACTCTTTAAATTCCAGCATTTGTGGTTTGACCTGCTTGCCTTCGGTATATCATAACTTCATTAACACATCTGTCACAGGCCCAAAAGCACTGAGAAAGAATTTAGGAGCAAATAAACAATATCCTCATTTTTCTTCTAAACAATTCCTCCAACCTCCCAGTTTTCCATTTCTCTATAATGGAATGAAGATATGTGAGATAGCAAAAATAAACCAAAGCTTACGCTAAAGTTGAACTCTGATTTATAAAATACTCCATTCATTCTATCCCTCAAAATTCCACCTAACTGAATTAAGGAATCCTACACCATCATCAGCCATATACATAGCGAAAAACAGAATGCACTGGGGAAAGGGGAATGCAGTCGTTAGATCAGAAGCAATAAAACGCACCTTTGGATTGAAGCCACAAAAGCCAAGGTACGCTGGATATTGAGCTCAGGGTATCAGAGAAGTACAATCTGAATTTACAGAGTTTCAATCAAAGGACCATCCAACATCATTCAAGAATGACACCAACACTAGTCTTATTCGGCCCCAGAATTAAGTAGAATTTAGTGGCTTTTTCATCACAGTACATGTCAAAAAGGCAGAATTAGGAATATCCAATTATTATGATGATGCCTCTTTCAATGCCCCCTTTTTTTCTCTCTCTCTTTTTTTTTTTTTTTTTTTTTTTACAAATAAAACCGTTAACTCCAGGATGACATTTCAGGAGCATGTAAAGTCATTTTTTATTGTGGCAGACAATACTACTTGAAAACTAACACTCACAGTCTTTTCCTTGTGCACCCTGCTAAAGTGATGTCTTCAAGTTTTATCTTTTTCTCTCTCTTGCTAATTGTTTAAATTTATGTTTATGTGATGACAGACAATAGAGGCTTCAGGAATATATAAACTAACATGAACTTCACTAACTCTCTCAGCATAGCTGGAAAAGGAGAAAAACCCATGAAGATCTTGGCAGGAAATTTCTTGCTACTTGATAACTTATGCATTTTTAAATGCTACTACAAAAAAATGCACACATCCTAAGAAACTAAGGAACTACTAACCTCTACAATCAATGTGATACATGGTTTATCCAGTCTTGACAAAAATCCTCTGGATCACCAATGGTAGGTTCATCCACTCGTACATATGCAATTGTATAAAGAATCTATTATTTAGAACACCAGGAAAAAAAAGCAATTAAAAGATTTATATTCATAGCTACCATTAAGAAATTTTTAAAAAAAAGCACTTTTCATTTCTATGCTAAGATCTAATTTGATGCCCTGCTTTGCAAATTCAGAATGAGGAGGAAAAAATTATAGTGATTACCAAACTGGAGAAAGATAAGGAGTATGTCCACAAATAAAAGTGGTTGTATAGAAGTAACAGGCTAATACTTTCAAATTATTCACCGAAGGCAAACATTGGAATATCAATACAACATAGATTTCATCATATATGTATATGTGTACATATACATCAAAATCATAAACATACAAAGTCTTACATTACAAATTGAAGGAAGTGTTAATTATACAACAGTTTTATAAGAAGGGTATTAGTAGGTGGGTACACGTTACTATACATTACAACTGAGAATGTAAATGGTGAACATTCATAACCCTGGGAACCTCTGCCCTCTCTCAGCACTCCTGATCCCCTTCTCTGGTTCTTCTTGTTCTTCTTCTCACCCCTACATATGCACAGCCCCCAGACAGCTGTCCTCTGGACAATATGCCCATTGCCCTGACTCCACCATCACCCCCACACTGTCCCAAGCTTCAGAACAAGTTCCCACACCCAAGGAAGCCACACGCCTAGCACTATTTCAGGTTCTTAACATGCATTATTTATCTCTTCCCACTCTTACAACAACTCTGTGAAATAGGTTTGGTGGTTATCCCACTTAACAGATGAAAAAACCAAAGCCCAGAAGTTAGGTCCCTTGTTCAAGGACATTAATCAAAAAGCAGCAGAGCCAGGATTCAAAACCATCTCTGACTCCACACGACATTTCAGCTACTATTCCAAACAGTCTCCCTAAACAATGCAACATGGGCACCTCAATAATTCAACTCATTCACTCAACAAATTATTTCTTTGTTGAACACAAACCTGTTCTCTCTTTTCTCCACTTCCACCTCCCTAAATCTGTCAGAGACTATACTCTCCACCCCCTGCAAATCTCTCAGGTAGATTCTTGGAATCATCTCTAACTCCTCCCTCTCTTGAACAACACTCATCTACTTGGCCGATAATTTCTGCCTATTTTAGGGATTCTAGGTTATGTTACCTCCTTACCAAATCCACTTCCACTGTCCCACTTCAGACCCTAGGTTTCTTTCACTTGGCCACTGCGATACTCTCCTAATTAGTCTTGCTGCTCTTGGTCTCTGGATCCACGCAATCAATGTTACACCACTGCTACCTGTTATCCTTATAAAACAGACCTACTCATGTTACACTCCAGCTTAAAAGCCTTTGATGGTCCTCTACTGTCTACAGAACAAAGTCCAAACTAGTGTTGGCATTCCCACACAAGCTAGTCCCAACCTCTCTTCCCAGCTTCATGTCCTACTGCCTCCCCACCTAAATAATAATAATAATTTACATAGAGCTTAATTGTTTATACAGTGCATTTTCATATACATTAATCACAACAACACTATGAGTATTTCTTACTATCCCAATTTTATGAGAAAGAAACTTAGACCTAGAAAGGTAAATAATTTGCCGAAGATCCCAAATCGTAAAAAGAACATAAAAGGCAGAAAGGGTCAAGTATCAAACTCCAAATTTCTTCTCCTTTCCCAACACTTCCCGCAGCCACAGCACCCCTACTCCGGGACATCAGACTCAAACTTCCTCTGAAAGTATTTTCCAACCTCTGTCTTAGCTCAAGCTATTCTCACTTGAAACTTCCAAAGAACAGTGGAAGGCATTCTTCATATTACACTTTGTATCAGTTACATACATTTATATATAAACCTGTGTCCACAGATCATAAGCCCTATAGGGACAGGACCAAAAGTTAGTCACTCCATTTTTAAAGTCTGCTTACTTAACTGAAAATGTGTGGGGAAAATAAGCCATATAAGACAACAAGCATCAAGGCAGAGACTGGCCAGGCCTGAAACCAGAGACCAGAAACTTGAATGAGACCATCAGAGCACGTTGGCAGTGCCGATAATTTTAACATCTCCTGAACAAGGTCGAATGCCCCAGTGCCAACTACTTTCACGGACATTGGCCTTTATTAAATATTACAGCTTATTGGAAGCACAAGTCAAGACAGAATGGAGTAAAAATGAAGAATTAGAATAGAAGTGATAAGAAACAGAAATACCATTATTTCCCATTTTAACTTCCCTCTTTGACTAAGTAACCAAAATTTGAATGATACAGGCTTGACTGAGCGTTTCCACAAAGATCGGCTCCGCCGCATAGATGGCTGTCTCTGGGGCTATTTCCGTAGGCCACAGAATCACGTTCCCCCACACGGCTACACAGACAGCTTCCCACGTCTCACCCTCGAAAAGAGCCACGAGGCTTCCGGCCACTGGCAGAGCCTCTCTCAGAAGGTATTTGACATGTTGATTATCTGGCCAACTTTTGCAAGTGAAGCTCCCCATGGTTCTGTCAAATGGTCAAACTGAAGAGTGTCAATGTGCTTTAAGATTACAGGCCATACTCCTTCCTGAGTTGTCTTTATCCCAGTGAAGATCAGATGCTAAGGATGCCTTATAATTATAAAGCCCAGAATATGAAACCACTGAACAGCTGACCAGGTGAAAAGTCTCAAATGCTTCCTTCCCTCTGTCAGAAATCTCCCTGTCCACTGCTGAAACAGAACCACAATGTCAACTTTTCTATGAACTGGCAGAGGGTAATATTAGAAGAAAAACTAGCCCACATGCCCTGCACTGAATTTCATTCCATTCCAAACAGTTCTAGCACCATGACCTTAAGTAATTTACAAACTAGATTTCAGAATTATCTTTAAGTCAGAACTAACTGTTCTCTATCGTGGGATCTCACCCAAAAATCTAATATTTCTATTCAATGAACCTCAGAATACTGCCACATTTTATACACAACAGCAGATTTCTTCTGGAGGCTAGTAAGACATGGGGGGGGGGCGGGAGGAACATGCTGCTCTTGTTATTAACTGTATTTTTGCTTTCAGAGACAGTAATACAACAGTCAGTCAGAATTAACATCAACTTTGGAATCAGAGAATCTGAATTCAAGCCCTAACTCTATAATTTGAAGGAAGTTCCACCACTGAGACAGTAACAGCACCAAACTCACAGAGGTGTTGTATGGATTCTGTCAGCCAACATGTACAAAGTGACTAGAACACACAGTAAGCTTTCAATAAACATTAGCTTTACAATCACCTGATTCAAAGTGACAATTACATGAGATTTGTGAAAGGATAACAAATTCTAAGAAATCCCAGCCCAAGATTGTCCTGCTTACCTTTTGGCAACTTCCATATGTCAATGATACTAATCATTCAGTCAATCGATAAATATGAAATAAAACAGAAACCTAACAGTGCTGCTTCTTGGGAGCTCCCGCAAAGTGCGGTGGCAGATACAACTGAAAGCAACTAGATTTAATTTAAATTTATGGCATGTGTATCACCTCAAATACAAAGATAAAAAATGCTGATCTGAAATCTATAGAAACCCAGTGTTACCAGCTATACATCCCTAAATAGCAGATGTGGGAACCACAGATAATATGATTTTAGCATTATCTATATTACATAATCATACACTTTGCTCCCTCCATATTTGTTTACATGTATGCTTCCTCTTTCCCCTCAGCAATATTATAATTCTGTTGGTGGACAGTGGTGTTTCTTCTGCACCCCACAGCAATGTTAAACAGCAGTCCAATAGTTGGACTAAAGTAACATCTAGCTAAGAATTTAGCAGCCCACCTGACCAGATCTTTCCATCAGCGCGAACACTGACTACGGTAGACAGAGGTAACACAGCCTAAAGCCTAGCTGAGTGCACGCTGGAGTCTGAGACACCTGGGATCCAACGCCACCACTCACTTGCTGCAGGACCTTTGGAACGTAAAAAGTCTGTTTTCCATTCCATAAAACAGCAATAATAATTTGACCCACCTCTCAGGATTACTGTGACAAATGAAAGAATATATGCAAAACACTTCATGCTAGACTTGAAATTTTGAGGGGTACGTTTACAGAGGTCTCCAATTTACTTTGAAACACATCAAAAAAGGCTGGATTGAGGGGCGCCTGCGTGGCTCAGTCGGTTAAGTGGCTGCCTTGGGCTCAGGTCATGATCCTGGAGTCCCGGGATCGAGCCCCACATCGGGCTCCCTGCTCGGCGGGGAGTCTGCTTCTCCCTCTCCCTCTGCCTGCCTCTCTGCCTACTTGTGCTCTCTATCTGTCAAATAAATAAATAAAATCTTTAAAAAAATAAAAATAAAAATAAATAAATAAATAAATAAAAATCTTTAAAAAAAAAGGCTGGACTGAGTACTTAATGCCACTGAACCGTACAACTAAAAAATGATTAAGATGATAAGTTTCATTATGTGTATTTTACCACAGTTGAATTAAAAAATAAAATAATTAAAATAAAATTGTAAAAGGTGGATTGGAAGATGGACAGATGCATGATAAAGCTGGTAAAATAACAAATGCAGAATCTAAGTAGTACGTATATGAATACTCACTTTCAACTTTTCTGTATTTTTGAAGATTTTTACAATAAAGTATTAGGGAAAAAAACAATGCTGGCATCCAAAAGTTTGCTTTTATTATCACTGTCAAAAATAATAGCCAGCAATATTCAGATTCTTGGCTTTTTAAAAAATTGTATAAAGCATCATTTATCGGCCATCTCTCCTTTTATTGTAACTATTCTAAAACTAAAAGTGGCTTGGGGCGGCGGGGTGGCTCAGTTGGTTGAGCGACTGCCTTCGGCTCAGGTCATGATCCTGGAGTCCCGGGATCGAGTCCCATATCAGGCTCCCTGCTCAGCAGGGAGTCTGCTTCTCCCTCTGACCCTCCTCCCTCTCATGCTCTCTGTCTCTCATTGTCTCTCTCGCAAATAAATTAAAAAAAAAAAAAAAAACCTAAAAGTGGCTTACTTGAAACTGCTTAGCCAGTACTTATGTATGTAATTTCAAGTTAAATTATTCTAAGGTACCAGCGGCCAAACATTTAATCTCTTCTGAAGGAACACAGAAACCAAGTCAACAGATATTTGTGGTCGATGATTGATGACTTGACCAAACAAAACAATGGAAAAGCAAGGATTGGAATTACTTGTTCCTTTTTCAGTAGCTGCTAAAGCTGTAAGTTCCAGTAGTATTACCAGAAGTACTACCAGCACTTAACAGATACCTGATGTACGGGAGCATGCTGCATGTACACAATATGTCAGCCACTTCAGAATGATACCCAATTTGGGGCGCCTGGGTGGCTCAGTCAGTTAAGGGTCTGCCTTGGACTCAGGTCATGATACTGGGGTCCCGGGATCCAGTCCCACATCGGGCTCCCTGCTCAGCAGGAAGTCTGCTTCTCCCTCTCCCTCCACCCTTCCCCCAAGCTCGTGTACGCTTGCGTACGCTCGCACTCTTAAATAAAATCTTTAAAAAAAAAAAAAAGAAGGATATCCAATTTTCCTCTAGTTTTTTTCCCCCATTCCAAATGGTAATTCAAATTTTAAAGTGTTTAAAGGTACTACAGGAACTGAGATACCATGCGGTATAACAATTTTAAACAGACCATCTCAAACCCATTGCAATGGCTACTTTCAAAAATACAGAAAAGAACAAGCGTTGGTAGGAACGTGGAAAAATTGGAACCCTTGTGTACTTTTGGTAGGAACCTTTGTGCACTGTTGGTAGGAACAGTATGGTGGTCCCTCAAAAAATTAAAAACAGAATTACCATATGACCAAACAATCCCACTTCTGCATATACACTCAAAAGAACCGGAAGCAGAGTCTCAAAGACATATTTGTACACCCATGTTCATAGCAGCATTACTCACAACAGGTAAGCTATGCAAGCAACCCAAGTGTCCATCAACAGATGAATGGATGAGAAAATGCAATATATACACACATGGAATAAAAGAAAATACGGTCACATGCTACAACAGAGATGAACTCTGAAATAACATTAGGCTGAAATAAGGCAGTCACAGAAAGGCAAAATCATGTATGATTCCACTTATATGAGATACCTAGAGCAGTCAAAATCAGAGAGAGAGCAGAATGATGGGTGCCAGGTGCTGGGAGGGTGGAGCGGGGTGGGATAGGGAGTTCAGGTTTAATGGGTATAAAGTTTCAGTTTTGCAAGATGAAGAGTTCTGGAAATGGATGGTGGTGATGGTTGCTCAACAATATGTACTTAAGATCCCTGAACTATAAACTTAAAAATGGTTATGACCATAAATTTTACCTTATGTGTACTTTACCACAATAACAAAAAAAGGGAAGAAAAAAAAATCAGGGAACTGATCTCCCCAGGAGGCCTGGTAGGGGTGCTCCAGCTTGGATCTGATCAACTCTGCGGCCCTCAAACCATGTCTATCTCCAAAAACACCCTGAGACCTTGTCCATTCAGACTCTCCATCCTGCCCAGGGTCACACCAACTGTTTATTTCAGCTTCAGAATGAACAAACATTACTCCTGCTACACCAGTTTTCTGTCAAAGGAGCAAGGAACTTAATCTCTCTAAACCTGCCTCCTCTTTAAAACAAGGATAATTCCTACCTACCTGCTTTACAAGGTTGTTATGAGGGCAAGAGTGAGATCACGTATATAAAAGTAGCTTTAAACTGCCAAACACCAAAGAAACACAGATTACTATGTTTATAACTACTTTCGTATGGAAATGCAGAAGGGACTATAACAACAAAAACTTCACAAGGCTTGCGACACCTCACCCATGCTTCATTCCCCTTAAAACTCACATCATCCCTAAATAACACCTTTTTTGTTTTTGTCATAAACCGGTGGACAGCACCGAAAAAACAAACAAAAGCTCAACCTAAACATTTCGTCTAACCATCCCAAACGCAATCAGAAATCATCTCACGTGTCCTAGGAAAATTCAATTTTTATGACCCCAGCGTGGGCCTGCGGCGCCCTGGAACTACACTTCCCACAAAGCATCGAGGTGAACCCGGGCGGCGGGCGGGGCGGCCTGGGATTCAGGGTGACCACCGCTCTCCCCAAACAGGGATCGCCGTCCCCTGAAAAACGGCAACGTTTACGGCCGAGGGCGCGCTGGCTCTCCTTTCTGAAAGCGCGCTCAGCCCCCGGCCCCCCCTGCGTCTAGCCCCGCGACCCTCTCTCTGCCCTCCCGTCCTTCCTGCTCCACCTGAGGGTCACCGCCTATTCTTGACCTTTCCGCTGATTTCTAGGGTGTCACACAGAGGCACCTTCTCCCCCGCCCCCAAAGCTCCATTTCTAGAACTCCCCCAAACAGTTGGGACCCGGGGCCACGGCGGGGTCAGACGGGACGGGCAGACACAGCCCGCCACCCTGGGCCCCCCTGGCTCGTCCTCCAGCCCGAGAGCAGCGGGCAAGGGGCTAAGCTGCCCCCACCCCCGGACCGGGGCGGATCGCGGGCAGAGGTGGCTCCGCCCGGGGCTCCAGTTTCAATTTCGCAACGTGACGGTGCAAACCTGAGGCCTACAAGCGCAAGCGGCGGCGACCGGCGCCCCCCCCCCTCCCCGGCCCGCCCGCCCGCCAGGCCCGGGCGCCCCAGCCCCCCGCACGCCGCGGCCGCCGCCCGCCCACCCACCCACCCAGCCAGCCAGCCAGCCAGCCCGCCCGGCTCCCGGCGGGCGGCAGCGCGCCCCGGCCCGGCAGCCCGCCCGGCCCCGGCTCCGGCCGCCGCCCCGGGCCCTGCGCAGCGCCAGCTCTGACTCGCGGCCGCGGGCTGGCGGTGGCACTTACTCAGCTCGTCCTGGGAGGCGGAGGCGGCGGCCGCAGCCATGTTGCGCCAGGGAGGGAGGGAAGGGAGGGGCCGGAGCGGGAGGGCGCGGACGGGCGGCGCGGGGGGCTCGCCGCTCTCGGTGCGGCAGGGGCCGGGAGCCGCCTCCGGTCGCTCGGCGCGGGTCGCGCTGCGCCCACGAGGCCCGCCCGCCGCCGTCGCCTGCGTCCTCCTCGCTGCACGCGTCGCTCTCGCGGTCCCCCGCGAGCTCGCGACTCGGGCGCTCCCACCGCCTCGCGCCTCTGCGGGGCCGCCGCCGTCGGTCGGCCGAGTCCCGGTGTGCCCGGCCCGCGCGGTGGCTCTGCGGCTCCGCGCCGCGCTCGCCCAGCTCACGCCGGTTTTATATTTAGAAAGAGCTGAGCCATCCTCCCAGCGGCCCCCCCGCCGGGCCCCTCGCGCGCCCGCCCGCGCTCGCTCGCTCGCTCGCGGCTCGTCCTGCCCACCTGCCGCCGCCCGCCCCGCGAGCGCTCCCCGCGCGAACCCGGCACGCGGCGGCCTGCGCGGGCGGCCCGGCCTAGCCGCCCCGCCGCGCCGCAGCAGCCCGCGGCGGTCGCGACACGAAACGGACGCGCGGGCCTCTGACCTGAGTCTGAGCCGGTCTCCATGCCGGGATGCTGCGCGCGGCGCCGCGCGGTGGGCGCCCAGAAGCGAGGCGGCGGCGGGCTCGGGCCCGAGGCGCCGCGCGCCGCAGTCCGGGAGAGGCCTGGCCGGGCCGGCCCGCGCTGCCCCGGCCAGGGGAGCTCCTCCAGGCGGGGCCCGAGCTCTCTCTTGAAAGGTCTGCGGCTGTCACGTCGGCCGGTCCCGACCTGAAGGAACGCGCCTGGCCAAAGGAAGAGACGTGGACTCGGAAAAGTAGAGCCGGGTTCGGAGTCGGCGGGAGGAAGCCCCGCCCTGCGCCTCCCGCGAACTTCTCGGCCCCGGCGCGTTGAACGCCCGACCCGGCGCCCTGGGCTCCTTTTCTCACTGAAAAGCCGTGATCAAGTATAGTTTGCTGATGTTTCAGAAACTAGGACTGCCGAGTGAAGGAAAGCCACGAAGTCCTACTAAAGTTAAATGAACCAAGATATTTGAAGTTCAAGTATATATGCTTATATGAGCCTTTTTAAAATGTTTATTCTAATACCTACGTTCTTTTTGGTAACCAGAGTGATTTATTTTCAATATACCGATTTGAACTTTACGGCTTAAGTTTGTCCATGAGGTCGTGGACGTGAAAAAACACTTGCAAAATGGAATTCAAATTAAGGGGTTGCGTATGGGACGGCACTGTCAACAACAAACTAGGTACAAGATCAGATGCTTTTTTTTTTCCTTTGGTATAAGAGGAAGAAATCAAGACCCTAAATGGATTGAAATTGCATTTATTCCTAAAAGAAATCTCTAAAGCCCTAGTTAATGTCTTGAAAAATGAATATATGTCATTCCAGGTGTAACTTAGGCAAGTACAAGGTACTTGCAAGACATTAAAGACATTTATTTCCTTTATTGCTCTAGTATGGAAATTATACATGATCTTTGGGAAATTTTCAAATGATCGGGGATATCACAAAATTAAAAGTCAAAGGCCTTCCACTCCCACCGTCCCATTCCCCAGAGAAAAATGCAGTTAACAGGTACAGAGTGGGCATTCTCTGAGGCCTTGTCTCTGCACACATATACACATCCCCAAAAGCAACTAGAAGGGAGAGAGGCCCATACTTACAATAAAGTTCTGTATTTCTGTTTTTCCCCCATAAACATTCTTCCCTGTTATTTCAAAAAGGTCTACACCACCACTCTTTTTATTAATGACCTCACACCACATTAAGTTCACCAATTCCTTTTTTGAGGACGTTTTGGATCTTTAGTTTGATATTGACACAAAGTACATAACAAACTATTTGCAAAGACTATGATACAGAAGTGTATAAAAGTAAAGGTTGTCCCCCACCTCCCTGCCCACCATCCCCTCTCTTACTCCCTGGAAATAATCCTATTAACAACTTGGTGCCTCCAACCTTTCCTGACTATGAATACGTAAAGTAGTTGCACCAAGGATTGGTTTGAGAAAACTTTTGACTTCCCACAGCCTCAAACAGATCCTTCGAAAGCCACCACAAAAAAAAAAAAAAAAAAAGAATATAAATTACAAAAAAAAAGTTTCTTAGGCAATATTAACTTCCAGACAAGACTAGTTAGCATCTCCTAAGTTCATCCTATGTTTAAATTTCAGAGTCCACACATGTGCAAATCAAAGATACGTGCGTATACACAGATTTTTGTTTGTTTTAATAATAATGGAATCCTACTACACATATTATATAACTTTATCTTTTCACCAAACAATATATCACAGGTGTCTTTCCACACAGGTAATGATAATAATAGCTAATACTAATCATGCCAGGCAGTGTTTAAAGTGTTCTACATGGTGGAATCCATTTAGTCCTCATGACAATCTTATGAAGTAGGGATTTCTATGACACCAGATCGTGGAGGAAAAATCCAAAATGCCACAAACTAGAAAGTGGTGGGGCGGGGATTTCAACCTAGGCAGAGTGGATCATTCTTCACCACTGCGATCTGTATGTACAGAATTACCCCATTCCTTTAAATGGCTGCACGATAAGTACATGATAAAACTTATTTAACCATTCCCCTACTGATGAGCATTTAGGGTGTGGACAATTTTTTCTACTAGTGCAAGCAAATGCTACTGTAAAAAATTCCTATACATGTCAACCTAATCACATATTACCTATATAGAGAGAAATATGTAGAGGCGGAATTGTTAGGTTAAAAAAAAGATGCCTTTAACATTTCATCATATACAGCAGCTCATACCACTTTACAGTACTGATGTTAATCGCTAGTGTTTAAAGCTCTAAGCTTTTTTATAATTGCTTCTTCCTTCAAACTATTGTAGTTTATTTTTCCCACTAAATAGCTTCATATTCTGGGGCGCCTGGGTGGCACAGTTGGTTAAGCGTCTGCCTTTGGCTCAGGTCATGATCCGGAGTCCTGGGATCGAGCCCCACATCGAGCCCCACATCGGGCTCCCTGCTCGGGGAGGAGCCTGCTTCTCCGTCTCCCTCTGCTGCTCCCCGTGCTTGGGCTCTCTCTCTATCTCTCTCTGTCAAATAAATAAATAAAATGTCTAAAATAAATAATAAACAAACAAATAAATAAATAACTTCATATTCTTACTAGACAATTTGGTTTTGAATAGTAGCCTGGAGATACTTCCTATCTAGAATTTACTTCAATTTCCAGAAACAGACAAGAAGGAATTGTGGAAAGGGATGCACAGGGGACAGAGAAGAGGCCACTGAGAAGCCAAAATAATGCATCACAAAATCCAAGAACGAAAAACTTACGTCTTCTACTCTTTCAAAGTCCCCTCTCCCCTCTGGAAGGCCCGAATTACACTAAACGTATGCACAGTTCTAACAAAGTAGACTTGTTTCCATAGTGAGAGTAAATTAGAAGCAGAACATTAGAGAGCACTCTTCTGGGCAGGTACTTGGATGACAGAGGAGCTTATGGACCCCTAAAAACCAGGGAAGAAGCAGGAAAACTATGAAAAGAAGCTGTAAGAACTCAAAAAGCAAAACATTCTGGGGTTATTTGTAAAGTACAAAAAGCACTACCCACCCCAGAGTCCCTGAAGTCATTTCACTTGAATAACTGATGGCCACGGCGATAATCCTGACATCAAGAAACAGTACAGGGACACCTGGGTGGCTCAGTCGTTAAGTGTCTGCCGTGGGCTCAGGTCATGATCCCAGGGTCCTGGGATGGAGCTCTTCGCTGGGCTCTCTGCTCAGCCAGAAGCCTGCTTCTCCCTCTCCCACTCCCTCTGCCCTTCCCTGTTTGTGCGCGCGCTCTCTCTCTCAAATAAATAAATTTTAAAAATCTTTCAAGATTTTATTTATTAGAGAGAAAGAGAAAGGGAGAACAAGTAAGGGGAGGGGAGAGGGAGAGGGACAAGCAGACCATCCACTGAGCAGGGAGCCCTATGTGGGACTCAATCCCAGGACCCTGGGATCATGACCTGAGCCGAAGGCAGATGCTTAACCGACTGAGCCACCCAGGTGCCCCTCTAATAAGCAATTTTAGATGCCTAAAAGGATTAATTTTAAACTATCTAGAAAATCCAACTATCCCAGATGATTCAATTATCCAATCCCAAGGAGCTCCAGACAAGCCAAAATTCTACAGGAATAAGTCTCATACAGTATTCATTTTGGCTGCTGAAGAAGTCAGGGACTGGGTCCAGTCAGCCAACAGAGTCCACAGCACTCATGATCTTCATCTCTGCTCGTTTCAGTCAGTTATTAGTTAAAAACATGTTTCACTACGCAGAAAACTGTGTCAGGACTCAAAACATTCCACTTCTAAAAATCAAACTCAAAAACATCAGTCTCTAACCACCATATAGAATCCTTCCACTGTTTTATTCCCTAATTCCTGTGGATTTAGAATACATTTTGGATCCTCCCCATCGCCTGGAACATTTCCACTGCTTTCTGGTCTGTGTTTCCTCTAAGTATCACATGCTCCATTCTTAGCCTAAACCCCAAAGATGGCAATGAATTCAAGTCTGTCTTTCCTTGGTTTCTATCTTAAAGACAGTACCAATCAATTCCCAACCTCTGGCAAAACCTATCATTCACTTTATTTTTCCCTCCCAAATATCACTGGAAACGGGCAAAAAGCTGACCTGGTCCAATACAATACTTCAACTTGCATCTTAGAGGATAAGGCAACATTTCCTCTAGGGATAAAATTTATCCCTATACCAGAAGGGAGATCTCCTCTGATTTCCTTTAGTTTTCCAAAGTTTTTTGTTTACATTCCTCTCCCCACCAAAAAAATCTTCGAAAACTAATGTAATCCATTCACACATTTTTAGCAGCTAAAATTTTCCCTTATGAAAAATTGAAAGGGAGAAATTTTGACAATAAATTCTGCTGTAAACACGAGCACTTAAGTATAAAAACCAGGGCACTAGGGTGGCGCAGTCAGTTAAGCATCCAACTCTTAGTTTCAGCTCAGGTAGTGATCTCAAGATCTTGAGATCAGGGTGCCTGGGTGGCTCAGTCGTTAAGCGTCTGCCTTCAGCTCAGGTCATGATCCCAGGCTCCTGGGATCGAGTCCCACATCGGGTTCCCTCCTTGGCGGGAAGCCTGCTCTCCCTCTCCCACTCCTGCTGCTTGTGTTCCTGCTCTCGCTATCTCTGTCTCTGTCAAATAAATAAATAAAATCTTAAAAAAAAAAAAAAAGATCTTGAGATCAAACCCCCATGTCAGGCTCCATGCTCAATGTGGAGTCGGCT